GGCCTACTCTGCTGGCTATACGAAACAAATGTGTGATGTATGTAGGTGTGTGGGTGTGTGTATGTGTGTGTGTAGTTGAACTTTTCCATACTATCAGGAACCTTTTTCTTCAATAGCATGCTCGATCGATCTTTATAATTATCATTGTTACTTTATTCGAGTTTCTACCATTATTCGATTATAATTGTGGTGAGAAGTTGTTGTGACGTCAGCTCAAAATTATTCATGGAACAAACTTGTGAGAATATAAAATGTATTTACGTACAAATCAACAGACTTTACTGGCTTGGAATTTGTCGGATATGTTAATTATACAAAACATCCATGGGCATATAGGCAATATGAATGTTCTGGGCGATTAGGGCCTATTCCGCTTCACTTAACTTGGATGGGCCTACAATAGAAAGTATACAATCGAAAGTACGCAAACCACAATTGCATTCTGTTAGAGTTTCTTTTTTTTTTCTTTTTTGTGAACGAAACGAAAATATAAGTTTATTCTGATTATAAAAATCTGAATAATAAAAATATGTAAAACTTCATTACATTATTATGATTGATTAATCAATCGATTATCGATTGGCTGATTGATTAATTGATCGATCAATTGACAATTACCACCATTGCCATTCTCTTTCTCCAACTCTTTATGTCTATCTGTACCATCATGAACCAAGCACCAACATTGTCAGAACATAATCACATTGAGGTTTTCGCAAGCCAGGAACTCACTGCGTCGACGACCGCCGCATGACCAATCCAACTCCGCTCTCTGTGAGCGCTAGACGACGCGACGCTGTCTGCTGGTCGTGGGTGGCAGCCTGAACGGATCATCGTCACTTAGAGCGATCCGCTGCGCGCGCGTCGGTGCGGTACGTTTTTCATCACGTTGGCCGACGTCCGTCGGGAGCAGTGAGTTAACTCAAGTCGGAATTTTATCCCCCATTGAGGACTGTTTCATTAGTATTTTGATATGTTTATAATACCGAATAGAATTGAATAAAGGACGATCAATCTACCGTGACACCGTTTTGTGTCTGACGGGCTATTCTTTGAAACATTCCAAGCTTAGTACTAAATAAACACTAAGACATTTCCATGATAATGGATTGATTTTTCGCAATCGTTTTGAAGGTACACAATTCTGTTCTAAACACAGGCCTCCGGGTAACAAATTATACTGTCATGGAATTAGCCGTGCGTTTATTTCTCGTACCACTGGTGGTCGTTCTGTCTTCGACCGTCAAAGACGACCCATGGCCATGTCTCGTGTACTCCAGATCAGAGGCGGGTAAAAGTCTGATCTTGGACAATGATGTCAACACAAGCCGCCAGCACTATGGCAATAGTGGAGATATTATTCAGTTGGCCAAGGATCTGGGGTTAGCGCAGTTGGTGAAGCTTATAGACAAGGCTCAGCTTACCGATGCATTAAAATCAGGTAAAAACCGTAAATCAAAGACACTTTCGAGAAAAGTGTTCTTTTTCTGGACCACTTCTTTGTGCAGGCATGCTTTAGTAGGCCTACTTTAGAAGGACTGCCGGCCTACATTCGACTGACGTTACAGCCAATGATCCATTACCTATAACCTAAAGTTATCTTATTTTTCATCGTCATGAATAGATCTTCATTTATGAGCTACTATAGACTTAAGAAAACGTCATGTAGTGGAGACAATCAATAACTATGTCAAATTCTTTCCTTTGTTAAATATGAAAAGGATAACTAAGTCTAACGTATATAATAGTTATTTAAAATAACGTGGTGCCTTCCGGGTTCAAGTGGCTACACTTCGATTTTTACTAACTTTTCCACAGGAACATTCACTCTGATTGGGCCATCCGACGAAGCCTTTGAAAATATTCCTGATTGGTTCAATTCTACCATCCAGGGCAACAGTACTGTCCTTAAAGACCTTCTACGATATCACGTGATACCTGGAAAGTTATTCACATCTTCAATGCACGATGGTGTGATGGCGATCAGTTTACTTGAGGGCGCTTCTGTCCGTTTTGATAGATTCAATAGTGACAAGGTTATTATTTTACAATAAATAAAATATTATAGAATTTATTATTATTATTATTATTATTATTATTATTATTATTATTATTATTATTATTATTATAGCAACAAACTACCCTAAGTAAATTCACCTGAAAATTATTGTTATTGCTGCTGATGTTAGTGTTATTGTTTACTTTATTAATATTGTAAATCTTTGTATTTGTTATTATTATTAACAATAATATTATTATACCACAAATATAATAAGGCCTTTTATTATTGTTAATAATTAATAATGAATTCGATAGTCCTTTATCACCTTACTACTTCGTTATTCAACAAATTCTGTACTCTTTCTTAATAATAAAACAGTTGTAAATTATTATTATTATTATTATTATTATTATTATTATTATTATTATTGTTGTTGTTGTTATTATTATTATTATTATCAACATTCTTGAATAAGCGCCGCACCAATCCTGATTATTTTCCCTAAGCGCCGCTCTCGAATAAGCGCCGCGGCGTTTAATCGAGGGTATATATTACCCTGCGTGTAATGAGAAACAGTGTTTTAAATACTGTGTATACAGTGTTAAAATTAATAAATAACACAATGAAGACACAAGCATTTCTTTATAAACATTTATTTACGATGACTAGAACCTATGATAGGTCTACCGATACGGAAAGTATACGTGAGATAAGTAACATGGGAAAGGGCATGAAAAGCGCCACGCAAATACTTTTTTTATAAGCGCGGCGCTTATTCGACCATCTACGGTACTCGTCAGATTAATATATTTTATAAGATCCATTTTGTAGGCCTACATGATAGTTTTACTACGAAACACCACGAGAGCATACGTCATGTCAAAGAATAACTCAGCTTGGATTGAATATTAAATTATTAAATATAATTTCTTACATAAAGCTAATAGCAGTTACCGGGGCTCCAATTTTACATGGTGACAACAATGC